AAAAAAAAAAAAAAAAATAGGATAAGTCTATAAAAGCTCTAAGGCAAAAATAAGTATTGTAAGGCATTTAAGTAATTTAATTACAAGGTTGTGTTAACAACTATATAATTAACTTTTTACTTTGCAAAAATATAGTATGTCGCATTATTGTGTGTGCAAAGAATGTTTACAAACATAACATCTACTGGGCAATAGTTTTTTTGTTTGTTTGTTTGTTTGTTTGATTTTTTGGCTGGGGCTGGGTTTGAACCCTCTACCTCTGGCATATGGGGCTGGTGCCCTACCCCTCTGAGCCACAGGCGCCACCCCAGCAATAGTTTTTGACCACAACATTGTACACCTAAAATCAGTGACAAGAATGTTAACTAAAAACCTAACTGACTGGCGATTAAAAATATTCTAAATTTATGCATCAAAGAACAAATCAAAGGTCTAATTATTTAGAATACAATAGAAATGAAAATATAACACTTAAAACAATACTCAGCTAGTAAGAGACCAACACGTCCCTCTGTCAGGTGTAGACTGTACAACTGCTTTACATCACCTGCCAGCACACAACCATGCATGCCCTAATGTTTCAAAGTGTCACACTTAATCCAAAGAAACATTTTAAGTTAGGGGACAAAGTTAGACTACAGAAATGCCCTTAGTGGGCTATATTTAAAAGCAAAAGAGAGGATGACAACCAAGTGGTCCTTAGACAGGGTGCTCTTTGAACGGCGTGTTAAGGCAAGCCCAGCAGAACAAAGAGTCTGGAGCTTCTGAGGCATGGAGCCGGTGAAGGAACTATAATCTGTGCTGAAATTAACATAAGAGTGAAGAAATATGGCCCCTGGCTTTGGGCATTGGATTCAGACCTGGCCAGATTCTTCCTTATCTGCAAAGGCACTGAGCAATCACAGTAACCAGGTGGCAGAGCACAAAGCCAGGCCAACCTCAACACTCCGCCACTTGCTCAGAACTCTTTAATGTGCACTTCTGTACAGGCTGCTTTGTTCCCTCCCCATGGGAGCTATTCTAGCACATCCTCTGACTGCCCCCTGCAACGGAGCACGTGTTCAGACAAAACAGAATCCACCCAGAGCATTTATACAAACATTAAATATGAAGCAATCGCCACATCCTCTTTAACTCCATGGGGATTTCCCTCTTCTTCCCTTCTGTGTTCTTCCTCAAATTCAGTGGTAGCAAGAACTTTCACATGGGAACTATGAAAGTCCACACCATGGACTCCTTATCTCCTATTTCCAGGGGCAGAATTATTCTGTTTTCCAACCATAACTCTGGATGTGCCCAATGTCTTCAGGCTGCTTTCACAGAGAGCATCAGTTGCTTTGAATGCAATCTCAAGTTGGAACAGTTGTATTACTGTCTGCTACGCATGTGGGGAGAGCCAGACTCATCTCCCAATTCCAAGGTCCTGAAAGATGTCACCACTGTACAGGTGCAGGGTTCTGACACTACCACAAGACCTTTCAGATGGCATGCCTCAGAACAAAAGCTACTTCCATGGCTGACAGACAACAGCACCTGATTCTCGTTCTAACTGCCGGGGCTTTTCCTGCCAGCAGGTGAGCAAGGTCAACTAGGACACTGCCTGCAGCAGATTTCAAAAGTTTCTTTCTTTCGTTTTTTTTTTTTTTTGAGACAGAGTCTCAAGCTGTCACCCTGGGTAGAGTGCCCTAGCAACATCATAGCTCATAGCAACCTTCAACTCTTGGCTCAAGCAGTCCTCTTGCCTCCGTTTTTTTGTACATATATATGTAAGTAGAGACGGGGTCTCTCTCTGGCTCAGGCTAGTCTGGAACCTGTGAGCTCCAGCAATCCACCTGCCTCGGCCTCCCAGCAGAAGTTTCTTCAGTGTACAGAAGAATGAAAATGAAGATAGTTACTTTGACTTTAAATGATCATAGATATTAATCAGCTTATAAGCTTCTCTTAGCTGAACCAAACAATTTTTATTTTTAAATCAATGAATACATAACTTTTATCAGTAAAATAAAGGGAAGCATACCACTTAAGGTTAGTTTGTAAGTGGAAGCAGTATTTTTAAATGGCTGCAGCCATTTCATTCATTTATTCAAAAAGTCAAAAGTACCAAAAGTATTTATTTGTTGAAAACCTATCATGACCATTCCATCTCAACTAGCCCAGGGTTAATTACTAAAGTATGAAATGAAATCATTACAAGGCTGTTTCTTCTGAGGCTTTCTCTTTTCATATATAATAGAGCATCCATAGCTGACCACATCCTCAGGTTGACCAAATCTTCATAGACTACCCATGCATCACATATACCCATTAGTACAGTGGGCCTAGTTCCTTATGTGGACCACTTTATCTGTTGACCACTCTATTGAAGTCCCTTACAGAAGTTCTGCAAAAGGAGACAGCAGCATATTAAGTGAAATCAGTATGAGTTTCAGAACAACTTGGCCTAGGTTTCTTGATTAAAACCAAGTTTAGTCTTGGTTCCATCTTTGTGGAAATAGCTCTTTAATCAATCCAAGAGAAAGTCTTTGTTTAATAGCTTCCTCATTGTGTGACCTTGAACTACTCTTCTAAGCTCTCTGTGACATGCTTTTCTCAAGTATGAAGATGGTAACAATAATATTGACATCAGATGTGGTCTGAATGTGTCCCCCAAAGTCCCCAGTGCAGCAGTGTTGAGAGCTGGTTGGTTATGAGAGCACTGTCCTACTGAGTGGGTCATTGCCTTGCCTCGGATTTCCCAGTCTCCAGAACCTTAAGCCAAATAAATTTATTTTCTTTATAAGTTACCCAGTCTGTGGTATTCTGTTACAGCAACATTCAATGAACTAAGGCAGCCTCCCAGGATTGTTTTGAAGACTAAGTGAATATGTAATTTTGACTTTCTTTTATCAAATGTAACTATAGAGAATGTGAGAGGAACATCACATGACATGCAGCTGAAGGTACTAGGGGAGCTCAGTCACTATCTGCCTGGGATGTCTGGATGTGCACATGGGCCTACTCTGATGTTAGACATTGAACACATTACATTATCTGTAAAATATTTATCGAATCAGAAAATAAAGAAAAGTGAACACACTTGTACATTGAGAATTTCATTTAAAAATGCATTTAGGATTAGGTATTTAAGCAATTTATTCAAAGAGACATGTAATACTGATTCCAGTGCATACATTTGAAAGGCACATAATTAAAAGTGCTTGTGTCAAGCTCCATACAAAATGAGTGGTTGGCTCTGCCTCTTCTTAATCTGAAGACCAACTTTACTGCACCAAGGGACCAGCAGGCCCTGTGGCTCGAGCCTCAAAGGACCATTCCTCTGTCCTCAAAGTTCATGAGAAGTTATAAACACACAGAAGCCAAATGGCTCACACCATGCACACCCTCATGTTAGCAGTTACTACCCTCACTTCATCATGTACCTACCATCTGCCCCTCTGATTTGGGGGATTGTTTTAAACTAAAGTAGAAATATCAATGTACTTCACCTTGGAATGTCACTGACTACAGTTCAATAGTAATTTATAGTCGTTGTCATTGTCATTTTGCACGAAACATCCACAACTGGGAAAAGATTATTTTAAGTGAGTATTTGATGAGTTTCGAGAGCCGCGCTCACCTGCATAACCTACGCTCCCACTACTACAAGAGCTATGATCTCGCCCACAGGCCCCTCCGCGCCAGAGCAGTAGCTGCTGTGGCCTTTGTTGATGTAGGATAGTAGGATAGTTTTGCCTGCTTTGGAACTTCAGATCCATGAGCCCCACCGCCACCCTTGTGTCAGGTTTGTTTCACAGCAGTGTTCTGAGATTCATCCTCGCTGCCCCGTTGTGTTAGACTTAGCTTCCAGTGACAGGTTCAGGAAAGGGTACATACGGAGTTATCTGTGGGGGCCTTACGCAGACACACACAAACCCTTTCTCCCTCCTCCTCCTCCTCCTCTCCTCCTAAGACAAAGACACAAAGGATCTGGCTAGCCCCCCCCCCCCCAGAAGTTCATGCCAAAAGATCCTAACCTGACAGGCAACCTGTAGGATGTGCCCACACCCTACAGCCCCATATAAAAGGGGTCTCCAACTGCCCCCAGGAGCAGATGCCATCTTCGCACTGCCCAGGCAGGTCAACCCGCTTTCCCCCTTT